ATGAGAATCTGTCAAATCAGCACTTGAAATGATCCAAACAGTTCTGGATATAAAGTTTTGTGGAAATAGCGTGGTTAAATGTGGCCATGAGCTACTTTTCTGTCTTTTCAACTGTATTGAAGCTACATTGTGTTCATATAATGAAATCATTTTAAGTTTCCAAGTAGTTTTTCACCTTTTCTGCAGCTTGCATTGTTGGACCACCAGGAACAGAATTTTGGTTCAGCACAAACGATGGTACAAAATGTTTGAATTATTTTACTCCTAATGGCAACACTGGAATCACCTTTGCCGCCGCCAGTACTTTTTGTACACAACAAGCGACGGGGGCCACTCTTGCCATTATACTAAACCAAGACGAGCAAAACAAGGCAGAAAGCCTTATTCCAACCAGGTAAGCAAATGCGTTTGAAATTTGTTTTTCTCCATCATTTATAAAGAGTGCTTAGAATGGATTTCGCTTTATATTTTATTTAGTTCTTTTTTGAAATATTGTGTTTTGTGAAATCATTGCAGCTCATCGTTAATCCTGCACTGGATAGGACTTGAGAAGTTCACCACCGGTAGCTGGCAATGGACAGATGGCACGTCTTTAGGATACATAAATTGGGATGGAAGCGGAGGGGGAACTGATCCAACTAATGCCGCTAAGAGCTGTGGGGCCATTAACACTAAAAATTTTCCTCTTGTTAAGTGGAAAGACCAAACCTGCGATGCCAGCGGAAATGTCATTTGTCAAGTAACAGCGCCTTAATAGAATTGGTCTTTTTCAAAGTAATCAGGTTACAAGATCGGTTGACATTCACTATCTACTTACTAACATGTGTACACAAATCAATGTTCTAAATTTGTAATGCACTTTGATCATATTTTTTGACAACAACGTCCATTTAGAAAAAGAGAATACTAAATTGTCGGAAATTTTTTAAATAATTTTTACAGGAAGTGACTATCAACAAATATTGGCTAAAACTGACATTTAGCACACTAATGTAGCCAATTTCAGGAGTTAACTTTCAAAAACATATAAAACACAATATTGAATTATATTTGATTTTTTTTAATCCAACTAAGGTCACTCAGTTCGAAAACCAATGTTTCTCCAATACTTGTGCTGAAAATGCAACTTGCGCCAACACTGTGGACGGTTTCACCTGCACCTGCCTGGCTGGTTTCACCGGCAACGGAACAACGTGTGATGATATAGATGAATGTGCCCTAGCCACAGATGATTGCGCTGAGAATGCCACATGCGCCAACACCGTGGGCAGTTTCACCTGCACCTGCCTAGCTGGTTTCACCGGCGACGGCACAGCGTGTGCCGATGTAGACGAATGTGCCTTAGCCACAGATGATTGTGCTGAGAATGCCACATGCACCAACACCGTGGGCAGTTTCACTTGCACCTGCCAAGTTGGTTTTAGCGGCGACGGCACAACTTGTGATGATATCAGAAGTAAGAAAAAAATTTAGGGATTTTTACACTCCCTTTCATTGCAGATGTTGGAGAAACAACGCAGTGAGACCTTTGTCTTATTTTTTACCGGGTTCATTCTCCTGAAGATCTTATTACAATGAAATGATTTTAAGTTTGGTAAGTTTGCTTATTGTATTTCACCTTTTCTGCAGCATGCATTTTGGGACCACCAGGAACAGAATTTTGGTTCAGCACAAACGATGGTACAAAATGTTTGAATTATTTCACACCTAATGGCAACACTGGAATCACCTTTGCCGCCGCCAGTACTTTTTGTTCACAGCAAGCGACGGGGGCCACTCTTGCCATTATACTAAATGAAGACGAGCAGGCCAAGGCAGAAATTCTTATTCCAACCAGGTTAGCGAAATGCGTTTTAAATTTGTTTCTCTCCGCCAGTTATAAAGACTGCTTAGAATGGATTTTCCCTTCATATTCTATTTAGTTCTTTTTTGAAATATTGTGTTTTGTGACATCATTGCAGCTCATCGTTAATCCTGCACTGGATAGGACTTGAGAAGTTCACCACCGGTAGCTGGCAATGGACAGATGGCACGTCTTTAGGATACATAAACTGGGATGGAAGTGGAGGGGGAACTGATCCAACCAATGCCGCTAAGAGCTGTGGGGCCATTAACACTAAAAATTTTCCTCTTGTTAAGTGGAAAGACCAAACCTGCGATGCCAGCGGAAATGTCATTTGTCAAGTAACAGCGTCTTTATAGAATTGGTCTTTTTCAAAATAATCAGGTTACAAGATCGGTTGACATTCATTATCTATTTACTAACATGTGTACACAAATCAATATTCAAAATTTGTAATACACTTTGATCATATCTTTTTGACAACAAAGCCCATCAAGAAGAAATGAATACATTTTCCTTTTTACTAAATTTTCGGAAAAATTTAAAATAAGAATAAAACTGCGATGCTGTCGGAAATGTGATGTGTGAAGTTAGAACGGCTTTATAGAATCGAACAAATAATCAGAATTCGAACTTCACTTTCTTTGATAAGTTTCTTCAACAAGTAATCTCCAGAAAGAAAAACGAGTATTTATGCTCTTATTTCTACAGTTTGCCTATCAATTATAATTATTTCGACAAATACCGTATAATATTACTGGAGCCTAACTAAAGACATTAAATGAGGATAATACGAATAATTTGACACAAAAAGGTGCCCCTCTTGAACAATAAAGTTTGTTAGTTTCAAGGTGAAATCTTTGGTTTCTTAGAATAAGCTGGCTTACGAGTGTTTCGAAAATCTTAAGACATTTTTGAAGTATTCGACTTTTGCAGGTACAATATTAAGACTACTTGAAAACTGTCTAAGTTCAATTAAAAAATCCTACAATTTTAATTGTAAAAGCATACAAAAGAATAAGTTTAATAATTCATTGAGGAAAACTGCAAAGCTCTCCAAAATATTCTTAAATGCAACAACGGTACGTTTGTTAACAGTCTACAGCAGCCCTTTATAGGCAGTGGTGTTTCTACAACTACGTATTCATTTTGGGTCCAGTGTTATTATTAAATGTTATTATTAAATATTTTATTAGTCCACATTTTTTTATTTTTTTATGTATGACATCCTGCGCGCGCACCGACTTTCGTCCGTTCTCCAAAAAATAAAATGACCCCCAACGAAGTCGGTTGTCGCAAACGTCGTTATTGAATTTGCCGGAAAATAAGCTTTCTTGGCATGTGTTTTGTGACATCATTGCAGCTCATCGTTAATACTGCATTGGATAGGACTTGAGAAGTTCACCACCGGTAGCTGGCAATGGACAGATTTAGGATACATAAACTGGGATGGAAGTGGAGGGGGCACCGATCCAACTAATGCCGCTAAAGACTGTGGAGCCATTAACACTAAAAACTTCCCTCTTGTTAGGTGGAAAGATCAAAAATGCGATGTTGTCGGAAATGTCATTTGTGAAATTAGAGCGACTTTATAGAATAGAACAATTAATTAGAATTCTACCTACATTATTTGATAAGTTTCTTGAACAGGTAATCTCCAGAAGGAAAAACGACTATGAATACTCTTATTTCTACAATTTGTCTAACATTTAAAATTATTTGGACCTTTGACAAATACCATATACTTTTACTGGAGCCTAACTAAAGACATTAAATGAGGATAATAGGAATAATTTGAGACACAAAGTTGCCCCTCTTGAACAATAAAGTTGTGTGTATTAAGGTGGTTTCTTGGAATTAGCTGGTTTACGAGTGTTTAAAAAATAATCTTAAGACGTTTGTGAAGTCTTCAACTTAAGCAGTAACAATATTAATACATGTACTACCAGAAAACTGTCTAAATTCAATTAAAAACATTACAATTAAGCTATTAAAAGCATAACAAAGAATAAATTCAATAATTCAATGAGGAAAACTGCAAATCTTTCCAAATAATTTTTAAATGCAACAACGGTACGTTTGTTAAAAGTCTACAGCAGCCTTCTATACGCAACAGTGATTCTAAAACTACGTATTCATTTTGGGGTCCGGTGTTATTGTAAAATATTTATATTTTATTATTGTGTGTGTGTGTGTGTGTGTGTGTGTGAAACATCTTTTTTAATGAAAATCCATTAAAGTTTAGGGGACCGATAAGCTGATACCGCCCAAGGTTCAGCATTATAATCTTAGTTTTCAAATGAATATTAAAACTATTTGTTTAAAATTATTTTTAAAAAAACTGCCTACCTCTGGTGTACGATTTGAAAACAAATACTGAGTCACAAGAAACAAAAGACTAGCGAAAGAATCGCACCTCATAGCAACAGCCAAGAGAGTTGCAGAAAGGGCAATCGGGAACCGTCGAGGCGGAAAACAGTATTCCAGGGTTAAAAATGTAACTCAGATATAGTGAATTATTACAATTGACATGGTAAACTATCCACATGGCTTTCAGTTAGAACTGAAGGTAATATAAATAATCAATTACTTTGACTCAGTGGTCTGGCCCTGCACAGTTCGGGGCGCGTGACACAAGCACTAGTTTAACATGATATTTGTCTGCCGTGCTTTCTGTCACTATTACGAGAAAAAAACGAGTAACGGCGGTTATCGAAAAGAAATTAAAACTGAACTAATGATGGAACCAGCACATATACCTAACCCTTATAAAATGAAAGGCGATATCAACATATCTGACGAAACTGAAAGGTGATACCACATATTTGACGAAACTGAAATGCAATATCACATATTTGACGAAACTGAAAGGCGATATCACATATTTGACGAAACTGAAAGGCGATATCACATATTTGACGAAACTGTCGCAGGTGAACACAGGCCATGTGCGTTACGTGTACATTATAATACTTTGGACTTTTCTTCAGTCAAAGTCAAAAAAAGTTTTGTAGACCAAATACCGAGCAAGGGTTAAAGTAGGCTATCTCGATAGGACTAAGGGCGTAGAGTGCTTTTCCTTTACAAAATATATTTACGACACATACGCCATTATGTAATTTACACGAGGTCCTTGCCCATGAACTCCAGGGCTAAGCATATAGGTATAGTTCCT